AAGCTAAATGATTTTTTTTCCATCTTTTTCAGTATATAGGAAACTAGGGCCCAAAGAGGAGAGGGATTCCCTACAACACTTAATTACTTAGTGATAGAACTTCAGCAAAGAGTAATCCCTGCACTCAGGAGGCTAAGGCAAGAGGATGCTGAGTTCAAGGCCAGCCTGGGCTACATAGTGAGAATCTGTCTTACAATACTAAAAAGTAAAGTAAAATAAAATCACCTTAAAGGGGATTTCTATAAACTTAAACATCCTAGAAGAGCATAGCCAGCAATGGGAAGGGACTGAAAGGTGAGAGTGGGGGCCAGTGGGAGGGCTGGAAGGGAGCAGAGCATAGTTCCCATTTCCCAAGACCTTGAAGGATCCCTGCAAGACCACCCCTCTGATCCTGTCAAACTTCTGGGGACAGCCCTAGCTGGATAGGTTTCAGCCATTAGGAGGAAGACTTTCTACTGATGAGAACTGCCCAGTTCTGCTAGGGCCCAGCACACAAGACCAGACCCAGTGGCCCTTAAGGCTCTGTGTAGCCTTGTGTGCTTCTTTTCTCTTGGAACACCTCTTCCCAGGTCCCACATAGACGGGAACACTGTGTCAGTTAGGCCAGTGGGCACTGAGAGGCTGTAGCTTGCCCTCATCTTGTCCAAGGAAGGAATTGCCGGGATGTTCTGCACAGCGATTCCTCTGCTCTTGTGTTATGGGTGGCTATGGTGCCTCTCCCTCTCCTGATACTTCTTCCCTCCTCTGACCCTTTCCTTCCTTTCATCTACTGCAATCATGCAAATTAGTGGAGGGCATTGGCTTTAGGGTCCTCTGTGCCACAGCTCAACCTCATTTTCAGTCTTGACCTACAAAGGGGCCACCTGCCATGGTACTATTGTTTCAGTTCCCCGACTTCCTTGCTTCTTGGAGTGACTGAGTTTGCAGCAGGCCTCCTAGGGTAAGTGAGGGTCACATGTGGCATCACTTGTAAAGTCTGCACAGGATTTGGTGCATAGCACAGTCAACCTCCAGTACATTTGAGTGCCCTCCTCCTTGACTCCTCCCTTACCTTGCCTGCTCTACTCTTTTGAAGTTTATGGAGTGTAGGCCTTGGCTCAGCCACTATTGCCAGCGCTGAGAACATTTGAACTGCAGACTTCTGCTATTTTCTAATATTTGGCACCAGTGGTCTCAGCCATTGCTGGAGCTCTTCTGTTTGTTATCCATCCTTTATTCATAAAGGATTCATTGCATGTCAGCTGGGTGCCAAGAACGGTGAGTGCTGGGAGTCTGGAGGTGACAGCAGTTATGTCCCTAGAGCACTGGTTAGGCGACCCTGTGCTTGTGCTCTTTGTGTCTTCTGGGTTTTTACAGGCATATATAACATGGCCTGGTGAACATGGAACAGGGCCCAGGATTATAGACTGAGTCCTGACACAGTGCGCTATGTGCACCCAGGCTACTCATGTCCTTATCTGTCCTGTAATTGTCCTTGTCTCAGCACCTTGACCAGGTTGTCTCTCTGAGGCTGAATTCTGAGTCTTTCTGTCTCTGTTCTCCTTACCCTTTCCTGAAGACGATGATACCCTGCTCAGAATCCTTATATCAAAGACTATGCTACAACAGTCCTCTGAAAGGGGCAGTATAAGGCCTTGGCAGATCTCTCAGTCAATAAAACACTAGAGGACCTGTTTAAACCCCAGAATCCACATTAAAAGAGAGCAATGGTATGTACTTGTAATTCCAGCACTGGGGAGGAAGAGGCAGGCATATATCCCTGGGGTTTACTGGCTAGCCAGCCTAGCCTAATTGGTGAGTTCTAGGCCAATGAGACTCTATCTCAAAAAAAAAGGGGGGGAGGTGGTGAGTGGTGCCTGAGGAACAACATCCGAGGTTACATGCACACACACACATGCAGGGTGGAGAGCAATATAAGTAATGTGTTTTAAGTTAGGACTGTTTTGGCCACCTTACAGTATGCCAACCACTGAAACAATGAGTTTATCAAGAGAGTCTATTTACAAGGTAGCTAAGTGTGGATGAGAGAGCAGGTCTCAAATTGACCTCCACAGAGATAGGGTTTGGAGACATCTGTGGGCTGAACAGGATGATTTAAGATGTGAGGAAGGTGATGGGGGAGTAGAATCATATATGATCTGCACATGCATGATCATCTCTCAAGTCTTCATAACATGCACTTCTGAAATAGTAGTGCAGCTAGGGTAGTGGCCAAGGCAGGAGGATCATGAGTTCAGAGCCAACCTATGCTACATTAAAAAGATACTGACTGTCTCAGGGGCTGGAAGAGATGGCTCAGTGATTAAGAGCACTGTCAGAGGACCTGGGTTCAGTTCCCAGCACCTTTATGGTGGCTAAGAACCATCTGTAACTCCAGTTCCAGGGGGATCTGATGCCCTCTTCTGACCTCCTCAGGTGTTACAGATGCCCTTAAAATGCAGGCAGTACACTTGTACACATAAAAATAAAAACAATAAATAAAATATAAAAAAAGAAAATGCTGTCTCAAGGGTATGAATGCATGCCTGCAATCTCAGCCCTTGGGAATCCCAGCCCTCAGGAAGTTGAGGCAGGAGATCAGGAGTTCACAGGCCAGTGAAGGGGTTGGTGACTCTAACAAAAGTAGGTTTCAAGTACGTGGAAAAAAATCTAGGCAACTTTGTCATCATGACCCATGTATCAGAGGTGTTATCTACAGCAAAACTAGCGGGAGACTGATGATCTGTTGTCCAACTGCATGTCCTCCCAGAATGGTAATTTTTAAAGTCAACTGGAAGCAAGGAAAGTTACATGGTTTTCATATTTTTGCCTCAGTTTCAAAATTAAGCTTACGCAACCTTGAAGGGGTCTATGAGGGATGGAGAAGTTTGCCCGTAACCTGCCTGACACCTTCGGTGAGTTCAGGTGTGTTTCTGCCCTGCCCAGTACTGATCTCACTCTCAGCGGGGACTCAGCCTCAGGCCTCACACCTTCTAACCATGCTCTGTCCTGGGGTCCTTCAGCTCAATCCCCTCTCACAAGATTCTTCTCCCCCACACCATCATTCTACTTCTGGTGGGCCCGTGGATGGAGGCTGACCCCTCTTCACCTTCTTGTGTATTTCCCCCATGGTCTCCACCTTGTGACCTACAAGGACCTCTTGTGTGGGACAGGAAACAGCCATGGTAACCAGGCCAGGACAGTAGCTGCAAAGGACTTTGCAGCAACCAGTGGAGCCCAGGCATCCAGGGCCTTGGCCTTAGGGCAGGGACCAAGCCTCAGATGAGGGACTATATGAGGTTGCCAGGGTAGGGGGACTCAGCCTTCAGAAGGACAAGTCCAGATTCAGGAATGAGCTCAGTTGTCCAAGCTAGAGCCAAAACCCTGGGCCAGGCTAAAGCAGAGTCCCAGAATGTAGGGCTGAAGGATGGGAAACCTCCTGCCTCAGCCCACGTGAGTGAGGCAGGGCCAGAGACTCCTTCCTGTCCACTATGCAGACACTAGGCACACCTGAGAGCACCATCCAGGGCAGCTTGTCTCTTCTGGTGGCATGTGAGACTACCACCTTCATTCTTCAAGCCAACCTCAATCTGATTATGGTGACACTGAACTTCAGAAAGAATGATGTGGCATTTGGCAGATGCTTTCTGTCTTGATCTGCCACTTTTTATATGTGTCCTCTAAGGGAGTCACCTGGCCTTCTTGGGCCTGGCTTCCTTAGTGGTCCCAAGTCCTTTTGGGCATTCTCTGAGCTGTTGTAAGATTACAGTTGAAATGTAGATTAAGTAAAGACAGTTGTCTAGGCATTGCTGTAGTTGGTTCCCATAGTAATTGGTTCCATTTTCTGAGAAAAGGAGAGGAAGACCACTAAGACCCTAGGCCTCAACAAAGTGGGAGACTGAAGAGACACCCCTCCCCCAAGGTATTGCTGTGGTTGTAGAATGAGTTGCTTTCACTTCATCCACTGGCAGAAACAAAACTGCTTGCCCGGCCCCTCCCTCAGTCACTGACCCTTCACACTTCCCAGGGGACACCTGAGCCATTTAGAGAAGAAACAGCTCTTCCTCTGGTTGGGGCTGCAGCCTAGATTTCATTTTAAATGTGGCGCAAGACATGCTGATGTAGGCTCCCAGCACCAGCCCTCCTGTGAACATGAGGCTCAGCAGTGGGGTTCTGCCCTGTGGGGTCTGCCGTGGGTATGGCCTGCAAGGCTCATGGTAGCCCAGAGCTAAAGGAGCCATGGGCGATGATCCCACCACCATCCATTCACAGCTCCAGACTCCCAGTGTGAGTAGCAGAGAACAGCAGGCACAAGAAGGAGGGGCCCACCCTACATTTGTAGTCCCAGGTTTAAATCTGGCTATTGCAGCTGTAGATATCAATCCTGCACTCAGAGACTGGAGTAAAGTAGACTATTAGGTTTGGTGCTTCTAAACCCACTAGTGATGTCAGGATAAAGTCAATGGTGAGGAATTGGGACAGTTGGCAAAGGAGGAAGCAGAAGCAGCAAGTAATATTTGAAAGGAAGGAAACATGTCAATGTCAACAGCTAAGCGTTTGGATTCCATGTATGGCTCAGAGGGAGGTGCCACAAGAAATCAAGAGAGAAAGGGTGAGTGAGAGACTGAGGTAGGCAGGTGCTGCACAGGTGTGAGCACCCACTTTCAGGTTTTTAAAATTTGCGTTTATATTATGTGTATGAGTGTTTTGTCTGCATGTACGTAAGTGCACCGTGTGTGCAAAGCCTACAGAGACCAGAAGAAGACGTCGGATTCCCTGGAACTGAAGTTCAAGTGGTTGTTAGCTGCCATGTGGGTGCTGGGAACCAAACCCAGGTCCTCTGCAAGAGCAGCCAGTGTTCTTAACTGCTGAGCCATCATTTCTCTAGCCCCATGACAGCCAATTTTTAAAGGAATGGGGCATCTCCTCCATTGCCAGGAGGGGTGGCAAGCATATATGGTTGTTTGTCAGGGCCTTTTTTCCCTCCACTGACTGCTCTACTCTGCTTCTCTGCCCCACAGGCCCCTCCACCCAGCGTCAGGTGCAGAATGGCCCCTCTCCTGAGGAGATGGACATCCAGAGAAGGTAACCCTGTGCCCGGGAGCTGCCCCCCTGACAACCTCCCCAGTAGTACCAGGAATGCCCTTCAACTAGTCAGGAAACTAGCGCTCAGGACAGCACTCTCAGGGGCATCTGCTGGGAACGAGGCAACAGAACAGGAAGGACAGGAGAGCTAATGCAGACATCTCCTCCTGGAAGTCAAGACAAAAGCCAGGTGGTAGAAGTCCTGAGTTTTACAGAGAACACCCCTGAATCTTAGTAGTACAGCTTTGTGATAGGCCTGACCATGTCCTGAGCACTGGTCCTTGATGGTTAATTGAACTCCTGAGTGCATTAGGAAGCAGTTATAAAAGGGAGGGAGTATCTATGGGGAAAGCGGCTCCCCAAGGGTTGGTTGGAGGGCCATAAGGTAGAAGGCCTGGGAGAGAGGATGGAACTGTGTCCTCAGATCACACAAGAGGTAATGGTGGCTCCCCAAGAAACATCCTTTCCAAGGTCACATTGCCAGAAAATGAACCCAAACCCAAGTCTACTATCTGTGCCTAGAGCTCTGCTTCTGACTGGCTTTTACTCTCAGGTCTGTGAATTTCACTGAAGGAGGCAAGCCCAAGCTAGCGCCCCACCCCCACCCCCACCCCCCGCTCTGTGGAACATGGAATAGAGCTCCAGGTGTGGTGACAGGCTCTGAAAAAGTTTTGACAAGAGTCAGGGAGCTGGCATCAGCTTCCCAACAGCTGCCCTGAGCCTTCCTATAAGACTTCCTCTTCCCTGGCCTCTCCCAGACATCCTGGGGTGAACAATTCCAGAGTCTTTTGACTCTGACATGATATATCATGAGCTACTCGGCATAGCCCTCAGTTTCCTTGTTTGAAGATGATGTGACTCTTGCTTTGCCTGCCTCGGGCACATGAGGTATTGAATGGACATAAGCTTAGTTGTGTTGCAGGTATGAGTTCATTTTTGTCCACTCACAGGTGTTACCAATCTATAGGCCAGGCGTCCAGTCCCTCAGGAAGGCCTTGTACACTTTGTCATGTTTTAATCCTCACGCTCACCCTTAGGGGTTGTTGCCACTGTTTCCTAGAAGCTCAGAGTGAACATGGCTCAACCGTAGGGAGCACAGTGCTAGAGCAGAACTAGCCAGCAGTCAGATCTGACTCCAGCCACAGCTTGCCACCATGTCCCAGGGTTCCTGCATGCAAAGGAGGACAAGGAGTGAACCCTCCAGCTAACAGGAGGCAGATTGCTGCTGCATAGATTTTTCTGTTCTTAGAACATCTCCAACACTCCAAACCTTAATCCAAGGCCAAGTCAAAGTGCACATGTAGAGTTCAAGGCCCTACAAAGGTCCCCTCCTCAGACTAGAGTACCCCCTAATGGTCATCTTGTGCACTGCAGGAACCCTGCTTATTTCAGATGGAAGAAGCCCAAGGAGGAAGATGGCTTATTTACTCCATATCTTAACTTTAGACTGTGCGTGCGTGCGTTTCCACATGGGGCCACAAGCATGCCAGGAAAGTTCTCTACCACTAAGCTACCTCCCCTGGCTGAGGCCTGATTTTAAATGTTTTTCAAATGTCCTGTTTTACTGTGGCTCTCTAGGTATGTGGGTCTTGCAGGGGAGGTTGGAGCTTGGGTAATGTTTTGGCAGCTTGCATGTAGAAGCTAATGCAGTTGCTGCTGGAAGCTCATCACATATTTTTGATGCCCCAGGGAACATATCCATCCTTTTTCAGGGATCTGGCATACTCTTACAAGAACCCATGACAAGTGGTAGTATGTTCATTTTACAGACAAGCACCTGAGGCCCAGGAAAAGGAAATAACTTACCCTTGATCATAGCTCCATGAATCCCAGAACAAGAACATGAAAGCTCTCTTCTTGAGATCTACATAGTCCTCCTCCTCATAGCACTTACTGAGCACCTACTGAATACCAGAGCTCACTGCAGACCAAGGCTGTCGGTCCATGGCTGTTCTAATTGCCTTCAGTTACTGTGACAAAACTCGGACCAGTACCAACTTGGGGAGGAAAGGGTTTATTTGGCTCACTTCTCCCAGGTCACAGTTCATCACTGAGGGAACCCAAGGTAGGAACTCAGGGCAGGAACCTGGAGGCAGGAGCTGGAGCACAGGCCATGGAGGAACATTGCTTACTGGCTTGCTCCCCCGTCCCATGCTCAGACTGCTTTTGTATACAATACAGGACAACCTGCCCAGGGGTGGCACCACCCACAGTGGGCTGGGCCCTCCCACATCACTCAGCAATCAAGAAGATGCCCCACAGACACAGACCAGTCCAATGGCTCCCTCTACCCAGGTGTGTCAGGTTGACAACTAAAGCTATCTAGCACAATGACCAACAGACCTGCACTGCTATAACCCCTTCCACCATGAAAGAGTCACAGCCTCAGCTTTTGAGCCAGAACTAGCCTCAAAACATTCAACTCTGAGCTTCACTAGCACGTTTGGAGTTTGCTTCTCTGGTTGCAACCCTGCTGCCATCTCTAGATGATTTGAAAAGGCCCCTCTCATTCTTCAGTCTTCACTTCTGAATTGTGTAGACATATTTATGGGTCACTATCTTCACCTCTCCAGCCTCTAAGGGCACCTGAGGCCGCCCTGCCATGAAAGACTAGGCACCTACCTATTATATGCCAAAGATCCATGAGCTCACTGCAGATCAAGGCCAACAAACCCATAGCATCCTAATCCCTTCTGAGTACTCTGCTCTGTAGTACCAGGTGGCCCTCTGAAGGAACATCGAGCCTGTGGCCTTCATGGTCACGTCTTCTGACAACTAACATACCTAAGAACTGTACCAGGGGACTCAACCAGGGGCTTTGCTGAAGCCTCATTTATTGAGGCCATAGGCCTCCACAGGTGAGCCCGTCAGCCCAGTGAAAAGTTTTATCACTCCAGTGAGTAAATCAAATTAGCCAGAGTCACTGAGGCTTCTGTGAGGGGCTCCCTGCCCAGTGTCCCAGCTTAGGAAACTGCCAGTTCTCCATTTAGGTATTTGAATCCAACACATCCCCTCTCTTAAGAGGAGGCAGCCCAGAGAGCTAGGAGATAGCTCAATAATTAAAGAGCTTGCCTTGCAAACACAAAGACCCATACTTACTTTTAAAAAATTAATAAAAAATGTGGGTCTGGAGAGATGGCTCAGCAGTTAAGCACACTGACTGCTCTTGCAGAGGACCCAGGCTTTGTTCCTACTGCCCACATGGCAGCTAACAACCATCTTACCTCCTGTTCCAGGGGATCTGATACCCTCTTTGGGCCTCTGTGAGCACTGCACAACATGAGTGCTTACGGACATGCAAGCAAAAACACTCGTACACATAAAATAATAAATATTTTAAAACATTAGGCATGGTATCACTCACTTACAATCCCAGAGCTGAGGAGGCAGAGACAGGCAAAGCCTGGGGCTCACTAGCCAGGCAGTCTGGGCTACTTTGCAAGTTCCAGTCCAGTGAGAGACCCTACCTCAAAAAAAGAAAAAAAAAAAAAAAGTGAATGATGCCTAAGGAACAACATTCAAGATTACCCTTTGGCCTCCACAGGCACGTGCGCTTGCACACACACACACACACACATCACGCATGCACGCCCCTACTCACATGCAAGCATGCACATACACACACACTGCCCAGTGCTCTCTCTTAGGAGTACCACAGAACCAGCTCTGAAGCCTGGGCTCCTGGGCCCAGAAGGCATTGTTCTGGGGATAGAGGGGTCAGGCCATCTGCTGTGGTTGCTTTTCAGACAAGTGATGGAGCAGCAACAGCACCGTCAGGAGTCTCTGGAGAGAAGAACTTCAGCCACAGGTGAGAGTTTTCTGCCTCCCACACTCTCCACTATGGCCCCTCCACTTAGATGGGGCCCTCTGCATTGCCACTGATTGTCTAGGCTGAATGTCAAACCATCACTTTAGATGAAGGTAGGGATGAGACCAGAGCATAAGGTTAAGAGGTTCCTCCATTTGGTCTAGTTCCTACTCACCAGTCTCCTGGCCCTCACATTGCTCAGTCCCCAGGTGAACATATAGGGAGCATCTCCTGTGCCAGGCACTGTGTTGAGAACCAGGGGTATGCCGTGGACAAGGCAGACAGTCCCTGTCCCTAGGAAGCCTTGCTTCCCCTAACCTAGCCATGGGTGCTGGAGGCACTCAGAGGAATGGCCAAGGCCCCTTGTGTCAGAGAGGACTGCCAGAGCAGAGGCCCTGGGTACCAAGTGAGACTTAGCACACCACAGGAAGGGGTATTACATTCACTGACTTGGACAGGGCTTTTTCATTTACCTCATGCTTTTGTATCATGTCGTACTTAATTTGCTCAGATGCATTCTGAAGTAAGCAAAATACCATCCTGTTTTGTTGATGAGAAAACAGCCCCAGCTGCCCTCCAGGTGTTCCATGCTTGGGCTGAAGCCCTCTCATTGGGTACCACATCGCCTCCTCCCCACTGCCCAAGCCCACTGCATATGCCTTGGATGATCTAGTCTTGCCATCCTGCCAGTTCTTCCTATCACCTCTGGGGGCCTAGCTCTGCAGTGCAGCCTTATCCTACCTGCACTCTCCCTTCCCACTTCCTCTCCAGCACACTGGCTTCTCATGTTCTCCCCAGCATCCTCTTCCTCCTGTCTCCTATAAGACAGTTTTGCAAGAACTTCAGGCTTCACAGGTATGGCACTGTGTGCTGCTCATTGTAGCATGTGTCTTGTAACTTGTCATAGGGTCAGTTCTGTGTTCATCCATGTGATTTGTTGACTTTCCCCACTAGGCTTCAAGTACCATGCCACAGTGCCTGCCACACAGTAGAAGCTTGGGCAGCCTGGGGCAGAGAGCTGATGGGTGGTACATAGTGGAGCCCAGCATTGTTCTTTAACCCAAGGCCCAGTCAGTCTTTGACCCGCAGTGACCTGACAGTCCTCAGAGGCCAAGGGTCGGTCTCAACTACATCTTTGGACCAACTTCAGTCAATGCTTAAGGTGGTGCCAAGTACTTAGAAGGAAAAAAGGCACGCACCAAGAACTTCCCCTCCCACTAGAAAAGCATGACTGGAGCAAAAGGAAGTTTGCTGCACTCAAGGAATGTTAAGCTGGTGTGTGCCAGTTCAGTTCAACCAGGCCCCAGGTCCTGAAGACACCAGAATAAGGAGCAATTGTAACTAGACCAAGTTAATTCTTCAAGGCCTTCCTGGAAGAGGCAAACCTTGTTCTGGTCCTCATCCCTCTGAGGAGCAAGCTGTCCTCCTCCAGGGGCCTGAGATGAGAACAGCCGGTTTCTAGCCGGCTGCTAGAGACTGACTTCTCCCCATTGCATTTCAGGGCCCATCCGGTTTCTAGCCGGCTGCTAGAGACTGACTTCTCCCCATTGCATTTCAGGGCCCATCCGGTTTCTAGCCGGCTGCTAGAGACTGACTTCTCCCCATTGCATTTCAGGGCCCATCCTCCCACCTGGGCATCCCTCATCTGCAGCCAGCACCACCCACTCATGTAGTGGACCTCCACCCCCACCCCCACCCCCAGTCCCACCTCCACCCACAGGGGCTACTCCCCCTCCCCCGCCTCCCCTGCCAGCAGGAGGAGCCCAGGGGGCCAGCCACGATGAGAGCTCTGCATCAGGACTGGCTGCTGCCCTGGCTGGAGCCAAGCTGAGACGGGTACAACGGGTAAGAGTCTCTGGTGGGGCAGGTGGGGCACGTACGCTTCACACATCTACAGAGTGCCTCTGTGCCCTGCCCGTTGCCAGTTATTAAATGTGCATACTGGGACAGCACTTTGTGAGCTACAAGCTACCTTACTGAAAATAGGCTGTGGCTGATCCTTACATCGACCTCCACAGGTAGAAAAGGCCTATTTTCCTCTTTACAAGTGTGGAAATTGAGGCATTGGGCATTTAAAGAACTTCTTCCAGTCACATGGTTTCTACATTTCAGTTCGGACTCAAGCTCTGGGTCTTCTGAATCTACTTTTGCTTTTCTCATGGAACTCGCTTTAGCTTTGCTTCCTCACCCCCAGTGCATGTGCTCTGGAACAAGTATGAACTCATGTAGTCATAAATGTGGTAGTAAAAGAGTGCCTCTGATATAGATCGCTGGCTTGAATTTTGCTTCCCTCCCACAGAACTGTTTCCTCCCCTGTGACCAGCTGGCCTTGGCAAGGACTCAAGCCTGTGGGCCTTCCATGCCAGTCCCCAGGCCTCTCTAGACTCTGGTTTTCTCACTGTGGGGTTGGGAGTATTGGACTAGAAGCCCCACTCATGAGGTCTTAGGACTCATGCACACATTCCTGCATCCCCTGAGAGAGGGGCTGCTGCTCTCACCACTGTGCCAGGGTCTGGCATGTGCTTCTTCACCCTCAGCCAGAAGACGCATCTGGAGGCTCCAGTCCCAGTGGGACCTCAAAGTCCGATGCCAACCGGGCAAGCAGTGGGGGAGGTGGAGGAGGCCTCATGGAGGAGATGAACAAACTGCTGGCCAAGAGGTGGGTCTATGTCTCCTAGAATCCACATGCCTGTTGGGAAGCTTCCATCCCTCCACATTGTACTGGGAGCCCCTGCTGGGCCCCAGAATTTTTTTGTCCCTGGGTTTAGGTCAAGCAGGTTCCATAAGTTCCTTTAAGGGCTGTCTGAAGGATCAGCCAGAGGGATTCCTCTCAACTCTAACCACCCTGCCCCCTTTCTTGCAGTCTGACAAGTATCTAGTAAAGCCTCTTTCCTGAGCAGGGCTAAGCTGGAGGCCATTGCTAAGACACATTGACAGAGAAAGAGCATCCCCTGCACTTGGGAGCCCAGCAGACAGAAAGCTGAGTTCCAGACTTTCAGAGAGTTCTCTGGAGAATGTGGAAGAAGTCGTCCACCTCACCAGGTGGCTGGCTCATAAGAGGAGGCAGGAAAGGAATTGCAAAGTGGCATGAGCCCAGAGAGGTGGGAGAAGGTTCCTCGGTGCTGTGGTTGGCTCTGGGCCTATTACCTGGTCACCCACCTCTCCAGCACAGGTGAAATTCCAGCCTGCACAATGGCATCAGCCTGTCCCCTAAGTGGCATTGACCCATCACAGGAATATGCTGACTCTAGATTACTGTGACTGTGGCTGACCTGGGCACCAGAGGATGCAGGAACAGGCCTGGTGTCAGGACACTCCCTGATACCTAAGAACAACCCAGCACAGATAACCCACAGCAGAGACTGGCTCCCTCAGTGCCCCACTTGTCTTCTCACTCTCTTAGTCTTCCAGGCCACCTTCGAGGCTTGTCAGCCTGAGTAAGAACTCCGTGTACTTGGACCTTCCTTCCACATTGTTGCCTAATTCATCTCATTAAACCCAAAAGGGAGGCTCTGTGAGAATAAAGAGAGGTGATGGGCTCATAAGTGCAGGCAGCTGGACTATTGCTTCATGGTGAGGTAGAGCCTAGGTTTCTCCATTCATGCGACAGACAACAGTACAGAGACACTATCAGAAAGCAATGAGGTGCTCTGTAGCATTGGCCTCTCCTGAGCTCCCAGCAGACCTAGGCAGACATGCAAGCAACTTTCACACAGCAGTAGAGACCTGCAGGAGTTGACTGTGGCTTACTGAGGAAGAGAACGGGCCTTGAAGAGGAGGCTCCACATGCACTCAAACCATAAGGGGAAGTGCAGTTCTCAGGGCTTGAGAAGGAAGTGCGTCCCATGAAAGAACAGCAGAGGTAAGGCAGTGTTCAGACACCCACAAAGGCTGAGAGGCCCACTGTGTGTGAAGAACTGGACTGCTAGGAGGTAGGCCAGTGCTAAAACTGAAGAGCACGTCACTGTGCCCAGGAGGGTCGCAGCTCAGAGAGGTGAATAGGGCCTCAGATAAGAGTAGAAAATATTTGTGGAAAAGAAAATAGTTACACCTTCCCTGAGTCTAAGACCAGGGAACTCGCAACTTGGCATAGATGGTGTAGCCCAAACTCAGATAACAGGGAAAGGCCAAAGTTGCCAGGAGCCAAGGAAACACGAGGTGCTGGGTGGACTCCAGGCCCTACTAAAGCAAACGTGCTTTGCACAACCCTGCAAAGATCAATTCAGCCACTCTTTGAAATCCAGCTCTGTGATGGGCACTGGGTAGAGTCGGCAGGCTCTCCTGGGAGGACTGTCCTGGGCATTTCTTCTAGCAATGCACCTGCAGCCTTTGTCTTCTGCTGCTTTTACGGCAGGCATTTAGAATCTCTACCTCGAATACAGGGCGGGTGTGAACACTTGCTGAGAGTTGCTGTCTGGCCAGTCCTTTCACAAACATTTACCTCTAAATCTTCACAGTTTAGAGTGGCTTAGTCTGCAATTGTTTGTTTGTTTGTCTGTTTTTAGTGTTGGGGACAGAACTCCTGGCCTCACAGATGCTAAGCAAGTAAGCATTCTACCACTGAACCAGCCCTCAGCCCTAAGATGAAACATGGGCTTCTGGGCAGCAGTAGATTGAAGTGGGACAAGGTGACCGAGTAAACTAGTAAGGTGATCATTGTAGTCCAGGAAGAGGTGACACTGGCTGCCAGAAAGCCAATGGCAGTAAAGATAGGGCACAAAATGGGAAGAAAATCAAAAGATAGAATTAACAGGTTCACTGTTCCAGGTTTCTGGGCTGAGTAACCAGGTAGGTAGAGCTGTCCTTCTGAGATAAGGAGGCCACTATGTGAGCCTTCCCAATGACCATTGGCAGCCATGGGCAGCTCCTCACACACCACTTCACTCTTGGCAGGCAGTTAACCTCAGGTTATCAGAAATTAATGCTCTGGAGGTGTCACCCAGGTAAAATCCACAAAAGCACACCTTCAAGAGATATAAAGGGCCTCCATATCTAGACATAGGAGGGAGCCAGATTCAGGTGAGCACTGAGGCTAGAATATGGGGCGCACGCTCTCTCTCTGGGCGCACTCCCAGAATGGCACTCCCCCGCCGTGCGTCTCTGGCCGCGGCAGCGGGTGCCCCGCAGGCTTTTCCCACAGGCTTGGGTCCCGTGTCTCTGTCCGCGCGTCTCTGGTGCTGACAGCTTCCCTGCGACTGGAGCGTTGTCCAGCTGAAATCCTGTCCCTTTTCCACCCGTGTACTTTTCCTCAGGATGCGAGGTCCACTGGCCACTGAACCCCACGGGAAAAGTACGAGGACAGCGAAAGCTAGGATGTCCGCAAGTCGGTCAGGTCACGAGGGAGTGCGCCCCCCGGAGAGGCTAGGTCGCCGGTAGTAAGGCACAGAACTCAAGACTGGTTTAGTCTGTGTTACAGCTTTATTAAGTGTCTCTGCTCTCAGTAATTCAGCAGCTCTGCGACCCAGCTCTCTGTCTATTAAGAGAAAACTAGGATACTTATACCATGGGGGTAGTGGTAAAAGCTTTGGCTGTTAGATGCTTTGTGAGGCATTCTATTTACATATGGAAGTGGGTTTCTGCCAGACTGCTGTCTGCCTGGAGAAATTACAGGAAGGCATGGTACCTTTCAGAGCCAAAGGCCATGTTTATGTTATGGCATTTGTGGTGGACACTTCAAAAGGAGAGACAGGAAAGATGCCAGGAAGACACCCTGCTATGAAAGGAGCCCTCAGCACATGATCCCGAGCTGCATGAGCTGTCTGGTCGTGGAGGGACTTCTACTTTGCATAACAGAGGTCTCCAACACCAGAAGGTGTAAATGAAATCTTTCATGAGAAGTAATTCATATATGTAAGAAAAATGTATGAATTGCATACACGGCAGCCCCGGAGCTATCCTGGACATTTTTAGGTTCTTAGTGGTGTTCTAAACTAGAAAGGATGTGACTTAACTGAGGTCCAAAACAGGAGAGTGGCAGGAGAAATTGTCTTGTTTGGATTGGCATGACCCAGCCAGCCACCTGTGATTGAGGCTCAGGGAGGTACTAGTCCATCCACCGGGCTAGGCCTTCAGTGTCTTGGGAGTATTGCTGCCTCTCAGCTAAACTCTGGCCTCTGGGAAATATAGACAGGGTGCAACTTGTCTCCTCTCCCTAAGAAGCTATGGTCATAAGAGACTTAACACCTCACATGCCTCCTTCCTTCCCAGACCAGTTTGAGTCTAGGTCATGGGTGAACACAGAAGGCCTTATTCCCCTATCCTTGGCTCCTATGCAGAAGGGTGCCTGACCAAGTGGCCCTTTCACATAGACATCCTACCCCCCACTTGGACCATTGGAGAACTAAATGGTTCTGGCATGGAAGCAGCCCAGTATTCTAGGTCAGTGTGAAACCTTAGGAAGCTCATTTGTCTTTTTCCTCCCCGACATCTAGGAGAAAAGCAGCCTCCCAGACAGACAAGCCCGCTGACAGAAAGGAAGATGAAAGCCAAACAGTAAGTACAGCTCCACCCACCTGACTATCTCCACAGTCAGCCGATCTACCAGGAAGGCAGTTGTGGAACTGGGTAGCTGGTTTGGACATAGCTGTGAGCGAGTACCAGGAATCCATCTACAGATTCCTGGATGAAGGAATGAAGAGAGTTCTGCCAGGCTTGCACACCCTGAGCATTCTCTCGCTCTCTTTTTTTAATTGAATTTTTGTGCATTTCATACACTTTAATCATATTTAGGCCCCCTCCCCTATCTTTACTCCCCCCATAAGCTATGGATATCATGCATTCTGTCATACATATTAAGGCCTATCAAGTCAAGTTTGGGTCCACAGATGTCCCTCAGCGTGAGTTCATCCACTGGAGCCTGGTCAGCCTATCCAGTGTCACTCCCTTAAGGAAAACCAGCTGTCCTCCAACCCAGCAGTAATCAGCTACTGATAGTGCCTTAGCTAAGGTTCAAGCATTTTCTTAGCCAGACACTGCTCCACTTTGGGGGGGTCGTAGCTTAACAAGGAAGCAGAAGTAGGCAGAAAAAGCCAGAGCCACTGGGAGTGGTTTGAAGGGATCCTTGAAGTCCAGAGAAGTGCCGCAGAGCCACCTTGCCTGCCTCAAGGCAGGATACTCCAGTGCAGCAGGGCCTCAAATGATTTGATTGCATCTGCTGAAGTCTTACAGAAACCAAAGTGGTTTTTATTTCAAATTATTTCTAATCCTAAATACCCCACTTGAGTCATCAAGTCCAGCTGGGAGCTGAGGTGAGCCACGTCAGAGAATCCTGGAACCCCTGGCTCTTGTCCTTGGTGGGCATCTGGAGCCTGGTCTGATAGCACAGAGCCCCCAGCCTCAACCTCTATTCATGGTGACCAGTTTTCTTTTTGTGCATGTTAAGCTTTCTTATAAAATTGGACTTCTGCCAGGCGTGGTAGTGCATGCCTTTAATCCCAGCACTTGGGAGGCAGAGGCAGGCAGATCTCTGAGTTTGAGGCCAGCCTGGTCTACATAGTGAGTTCCAGGACAGCTGGGGTTACAAGGAGACCCTGTCTCAAAAAAGACCAAAAAAAAAAATTTTTTTTTACTTCTACAGGTACTGCTAAGCCTAGGCCTCAAGTACAAATGGCATAAAGGTTGCACCTCACTGACAGAACTAGAGAAAAGAAATACCATTACTTAGGGCCACTATACATTTCCTGCCCTATCTTCCCCAGCTGGCCAGCCAGTGAGGCGGGCCTGGTGTCCTCTGGGCTCCAGCGCTCCCTGCCAGTCTGATCTTCTCTGCCATATCACTGGGCCTGGGCTTATGCAGTTCTCAGTTCTCTCTGCCCACCAGCTGGCTTCTCTCTGTCTATACTTACACATAAGCCTCACTTCATAAAACTCGCCTCTCGGACCCCAGGGTAGAAAGGCTGCTCTCTTTTCCCCTAGCTCCCTGCTTCTCCCAAGCCCTTCACACAGTCACGGTTGCCATGCGGACCTACAAGGGGCCACACTAGCATCTTCCCTCACCCTCTGACCCATGTCTTACACATTCCTGAAAACACAAAGGCCTATGTGGCCAGGAGCCAGAAGTAGTTACTTAGGTGCACTGGGACCTGGGCCACATTCCCTCCAGTCAACACTGGCCTTTCTCCAGTGGCTGCTGATATTTCCCAGCTTCAGCTTCGGATACCTCAGGCTGCAGAAGGAGTGATTTCACAAGCCAGAGTTCTGAAAGTGAAGCATAGTATTGAAACCGTCCTCAGACCCCATTTTTTTTCCCACCTCATTTTCTTTTGAGGCAGATCTTCCTAGTAGCCCAGGCTGTTGGACTTTGCAATTCTTCCACCTCTGCCTACCAAGTAGCTGGAATTACAGATGTGTCCCCCACGCCTGGCTTTCCTTCGGTCACTGGTCACTAGTTAACTGTATTTCTGTGCGGCCTGGCCGTTCTTACCCCCGGGCTAGCCCCCAAAACACAGGGTCTGTAGAAGCACAAGTACAATATGAGGCATGCTGGTGACCAAGCTTCCAGTTGGTTCTGAAGTTTATAATTGAGAACAAATAAATATTGTTTTAAAAAAGAAAGAAGCTGCCATATCCAAGTCAGGTGTAAGGAGATGCTTTCCTAGCCTGAAGTGAGGCATGAACTCACTTTCATCAGGGATTTTTTAAAAAATAATATTAGCATAACATGAAATCATTTTTCCTGTTTTATGTTGAGATGTTTCATGTAGCCCAGGCTGATCTCAAATTCACTATGTATTGGCAAGGCTAGACTTGAACTTGTGTTTTCCTGCCTCCACCTCCCAAGTGTTGGGATTACAGGCATGTGCCACCATGCCTGGTAAAAATTCTAATTTGGGGGGAGGGGGACTTTGGAGGGGTTGTTTTTTTTTCTTTTATTGAGACAGGGTCTCACTATGTATCCCTTACTGGCCTAGAATCCTCTTGCCTCTACCTCCTCAGTGCTGGGATTAAAGGCATGTGTCCCTATGCCCAGCTAAAATTGTTGATTTTTAAGGACTTTTAAAAAACATTGTATTTATTTTTATTTTATGTGTGCGGGTATATTGCCTACATGTATGTGAGTGCACCCATGTCATGCAGTGCCACGGAGGTCAGAAGAGGGCATCAAATTCCCCTGGAACTGGAGTTAAAGATGGTTCTTAGCTGCCATGTAGATGCTGAAATCGAACCCAGGTCCTCTGCAAGAGCAGTCAGTCCTCTTAATCACTGAGCCATCTCTCTAGCCCCTAAAATTCTTTTTTAATGACTCAGTATTCTTGCTGGTTTCTTCAGGTCTCTCAGCCCACAGGTTCATGTGTTCATTTATATAACCTCCAGTCAGCTCTCCTTAAAATGAGCAAGCCTGAGGAGCCTCATCCCAAGACCTACAGCCTAGCACATTCTTTTCTCTCAGACCAGACATTCTCCACATTCACTTATTCACTCACAAGTACTGTCAGACCTGTTCTTGGTGTGGGGATAGTAGTGAGCAATTGGGGCTCTCCATGGGCACATGCTTAAATGAGGGTGTGGCTCCTGACTCTGAGCTCGGAGCTGGGGGTCTGTAGGCAGTGGTAGTTGCCCTAGAGCCTCCAGCCTGCTCCAGTCTGTCGAGGACCAGATGAGGAGAAGCAGGCACAGACAAAGCCAGGCAGTGAGAGACAGACATTTTCTGCTTCCCTTCAGAATTGTACTAGTGCTGAGCTGGGCATGTGTTACATGCTGTAATCCAGCATTCAGGAGGCTGAGGTAGGAGCATTGGGAATTCAAGGCTAGCCTGGCCTATATAGCCAGATCCTGTCTCAGGGAAAAAAAAAAAAAAGAAATGAAATGAAATACTCCATGTTATGAGGTTGTATTGCTGTTTAATAAAACGGTATTGTTGTTATTACTTATTAAATACTATTTTCTAAGTGAAAATCTTTACAAAAGACATGCATCCTGTAGTAAGCGTTTGCTTCTGTTGCTGTTGAATGTTCCCCATCCATTATTTGAATATGCAGATTCCTTGCATGGATCTGGCAGACATGTCTGTCAGGCTTTGTGGACCCCTTGGTGGTCCTGGCACTGGGTATATAGTTGGAGATCCAGAGAGCCACAAGACACAGCCTCTGCCCTCACTGAACTCACCGTCTGTGGGGAGTGGTAGGGAGTTGACTGAGAATGTGAAAGAAGCAAAGACAATGAGCACCAGGAATATGGGAGGCCTCTTGGGAAGCCATGGTTGCTCAGAGTGCTAAGGACTGGGCTGGGGAGGACAGGTGGGACGGGAGTGGAGCATGCATGTCAGGAGGGTCTCCAAGGAATAAGACACACAATGAGTGGGGTGCAATCTCTGGCCGGGGAGAGCCAGCAGAGGTGAGGCTGAGCGCCAGGACCTGTGCCTGTCCCAGACAAGCACCTCCACAAGCTGTTGGGCACTTCAGGCACAGGGCCAGACCTCAAACTTTTTTGCTTGTTTGGTCTTTTTGAGTCAGGGTCTCCCTGTAGCCCCAGCTGGCCTGGAACTCCCTATGTAGACCAGGATGGCCTTCATCTCACAGAGATCTACCTGCCTCTGCCTCCTGGGTGCTAGGATTAAACTCTTGCTTTGGAGCAACATCAATGGATTTGTAGGCCAGCTGGGATAGGCAGAAAGCTTAGAGTAGATTCTTACCACCACCTGCCCTCTTAGTGACAGAGATGTGAGGGACATGTGCGACCTTCCTCAGTAGGATATAAACTGTTGTGGCCATAGTCAGTGTACCCACACAGCACTGACAGCACTCCCTGGGGTGAGCCAGACATCTGGTCCTCCCACTGGCTAAGAAAAGGTGAACACTGTGAACCACTGCCCAAAGGAGCGAGCCAGGTGGGTCGGTCCTGCCCTGCTGCTTCGTGGCTATGGAGAAGGGTGGGGTGGACAGTGAAGCAGAAGCCTTTGTGATGAGCAACAAGTGCTTGCACAGCAGACACATCACTGCAGGGAGTGCTGGAGAGAAGTGTACAAACATTGGACCTGGCCAGGGTGTGGGGAGCCAGAAGGGAGCTCTGCATCGCCAGGCAGAGAAGCTGCCCTCCTAAAGCCCCTTCCTTCCACTGTCCACAGCGTGATGAAGCCCCTGCTGAAATCTTGGAGTTTGTTCTCTAATGATTGGCATCTGATCATAGTCCTTAAGGGCACTGGAAAACAAACTGTTCCAAGGTGTCATGCCCAGTCCCCAAGCAGCCTTCCTTCAGACTAATGGTAGGGCCTTTCTCTCTGGTTGTAGGAAGATCCCAGCACCTCCCCATCCCCAGGGACTCGAACTTCCAGCCAGCCACCTAACGCCTCAGGTAAGAGGGTACCTGGCCCAACAAGTCTTGAGGTGTTAGAGCAGAAGGTCATGCTAACTCTATTGGTGCTACAGAGAGATCACCAGAAAGAGCCCCGACCCTCCCCTGGTCACTGCAATCAGCTGTGGCAGAGGGAATGTGATTGGAGGAGTGTAATGAGACTTAGGACAAACTCTCAGGGGCTGGTTATTCAGTCACTTAACAAACACTTTCTCAATGGCAGCTTCAAGCCAGGCCTGAAGCTCATGGACATTGTGGGGAAAGGCAGAGAGTGTCAGACTGCCCCACCTGACAGAAGGTGGCTCTTACCAGCTATGTGCCCACATATTGGCACATCTGCCTACTTTCTTCTGGGACTCTACATGGGGTGTTGCTCCCCAGATCTGCAGGTTCTTGGTCAGTGTGATTGCCTTGGTTTCCTGCTTTGTGGGCTAAAGGGTTCCCCAAACTTGGCAGTTTAAGGATCCCTGTAGTTGTGTCTGCTTGGAGCCACACACCTGGACTGTGGCTGTGACCATGGGTCTTGTTTCTGCAGGCCCAGTGCACATGCCAAAGGTGGTTCTTAAGTAACCTGCCTCACATCTGAGATTGGTCTGTAGGCAGGGCTCAGCTTAGGGCATGATGGCCTCATCAACCCCTGCTCATCCATTACCCAGTGGGTTCTGCTTGGTTTGTTCTATTTCCTAAGACTTGGAGCTTGAATTATAATAATCTATTACAAGTTAAGCATACCCAGTTCCCAAACCCAAAATGCTCCAGAGTCCAAAACTTTTCCATCAAGTTTCAGATGAACTGTGCAAATATTTAAAACACAAATATTTCATACATGGGACACTTAGCCTGCACCACTTAGAAAAGGGAAAGCAAGCTGGGCATCGTGGCACACACCTTCAGTCCCAGCACTCAGGAGGCAGAGGCAAGAGGATCTGTGAGATTGAGGCCGGCCTGCCTGGTCTACATAGCAAGTTCTAGGCCATCTGGGGTTAACAAAAAAAGGAGGCGGGTGGTTAGAAGGAAAGGAAAGGAAATGGAAAGGAGAGGAGAGGAAGGGAAGGGGTAGGAAAGGGAGGGGAGAAGGGAAGGGAAGGAAAAAAAAAGGAAAAGGAAAGCAGCTTCCAGACCAGGAAGGGAGCAATCCAGGCTTAGCATGTGAGGAAGACTAGTCAAAAGATTTGCAGTGGGAGCCAGGGATCCTGGCCACCAGAGCGTATGGGAAGATGAGACCAGTAAGAGTGTTGGGAAGGGGTCCCCCGCCTGCCACCTGTGGTTGGAGTGACTGCTTCCCTGCCAGCTGGACCATGCTCCAGGGAGAAGACTCAAAACCAGGTCACGTGTCAAGGGAACGGGAACCCTGGAGTGGGGAAGATGGGGTGACAGCAGGGCTGCCTACACCCCTCCAGGGGAGCCCTGGCTAAAGGGGAACTGAGACTTGGGAACCAGGTTGCAGCTCCTCTAAGCAGCCTTCCTGCAGTGGCTCTGTACCCTTGGCCCAACGAGGCTCCTGCCAGGGGATTTAGGAGTCCTCTCAGCTCTGATTCAACCAAATGAATTGACAGAGGCTGGCCGGAAGCCCTGGGAACGGAGCAACTCGGTGGAGAAACCTGTGTCCTCGTTGCTGTCCAGGTGAGCTGCCCTGGGAAGGGCCAAGTGGCAAGTCTCCTGGGCAGAGGTGGGCGCTGGCACCTGTTCACATGTCTGTTTCGTTCCGTTCCTGTAGAACCCCGTCTGTGGCAAAGAGCCCTGAAGCTAAGAGCCCCCTTCAGTCGCAGCCTCACTCTAGGTACCGACAACCCTCCTGCCCATGTGTTGCTGGACTCTGGGGCCTCCTCTCTCCCCTTACCCATAACTAACACCCCTAGCCCTGTCCTGTGCCCTGGCATTAACAACCTGCTCTGGGAAGGGTGGTCTGCTCTTTCAGACCCAGGCAAGACAGAGGTAGACACCTCCCAAAGATGTAGGTGCCCTTCTTCCCTCAGAGGGAAAGGCTAAGGCCTTGGAGAGACGTGACTGCCAGAGGGGAGTGGAGCAGAGAACCAAGGTGAGGGCCATCAGTCCCTCACAGGGCCGTTCTGGGGACTGCTGTGTGCATAGCAGCTAAACACAGGAACTCCTCACTAGCCATATCCCAGCACCCTGACCCTGATCATTATTGGTCCCCTTCCTCTGCATGCAGCACACCTAGCCAGGTGCCCCAAGATCCACTGACTATGTTTCCCAAACCAAAACCAGTGTGACCACAGGCTAGACAGTTGAGAAGGTGGTCCCAAAAAAATTAAAGACAGCCCAATAGTAACTAAAGCCAAATGAGCCTGCATTGAAGGCCCCTCAAGCCCACATCAGGAAATATCTCCTCTGCCCACCCCAAGTGGAAGGAACAGCTCTTGTCACAAAGCAGGTGGCAGTAGAAGCTGGACTTTCGGAGTGAAACACGGTGATGAGAAAAGATGAGTTCCAGCCTGGCCCTAGTAGACATGCCTAGGATCAGTTCAAGTGGACAGAGAAGAGGAAATCTTGAGGGTCAGCTAGATTATGTACTGGGAACAGCCTTGCCCACGGGAGCTCTGTGTAAACTGGTCAGATGTAACTCCTGAGAGAGCCCTGAAGACAGCAGTGGGCAGTGTGGCAGTCTGGAGTGGGAACTTTAGCTAGCCAGGCCTCTGGGTGAGGGGGATCTGTGCATAGAGATTTGGGGGACAGCCTCCAAATGGAAGGGATGGAAGGTGCTGAGGCCTTGTGTGTAACTACCCTAGCAAGATCAGAGAACAGTCCAGCATGGCCAGAGAGGGTGAAAAATGGGAAGGGTGGTCATGACGGCAGTTTACGAGCTGTCATTCTACATGCAGGCTCCCTGCAGGACACTTGAGCACAGGACCCAGCAGGATGAGCCAGAAAGAGGCTCACTCAACCAGGAAGGGGAGACAAGAACCAGGCAGAGCAGAGGAGGCTGGGCACAGGGGCAGACCTGTGACCTTCAAGCAGATCTGGCCCTGACTGCTGATGGATTTACAGTAGGGTGTACCTTCTGAGTCCAGGTATCAAGGCCTCCTTCCCTTGGAATGTAATCTCTCTCCAGCTTTGAGGCAGATATGTTCTCTAATTTGAGGCTGTGCAATAGCCATTGTTCTCAAAACATACACACACTTTTCACAATGACCATCAGTGTGTAGCTAGGAGAGCTGAGGCTAAGAGAGGTAGGGCCAGCTGCCTCAGGTTCCCAGCAGCTACTGCTGAAGCAGGGTCTGCAACCCACAGGGGCCTCTGGCTGGGTATGTTTGCACACCAGAATTCAGAATTCCTTGCAAACCTGCTGAAGACCATGCCTGCATCTGTCTAGTTCATGCAGGAGGTGCGTAGGAGCACTGCCTTTCAGCCTCTTCTCCCTGGCTGTGGAGATCAGTGACCCTGGCTCAGTTTAACTGTCGTTGCTAGATGGGTATTTGTATCCTACCATATCCCAGTCTTTACCTGGCTCCAGCCATGTTCCATTCCCTGGAACCATAGGCTTCAGTAGCTGTTCTTTCCACATGGGCAGAGAATTGGGTCTAGACTATGTGTCTGCCTTCAGCACCTCCATGTTCTGAAAGACCCAGGAGTTAGATATGCATTGTGCTCGTGAGTATACAGGGAGGGTGCCTGTGAAGAGGCATTGAGATTCAGGTCAGTGACTATAGTCCAGTATAGCCTATGAAGACTGCCCCAGATGAGCAAAACCACATCCCAGGATATTTCTGGAAGGAATGAAGCAGTAGAGCCACTTACCACTCCAGGAGCACTGGCCTGGGGAAGTGGTACCCCCAAGATGAAGCTAACTGCCATTTCATTTGCTACCATTGTCAGTTTCCACCAGGAGGAGTTCAATCAGGAACACACACTCAGGCTGAGGAACAAGTTATCGGTGCTGTTTCTCCAGGGAGGTGATGGGGCGTGGACAGTCTGTCTCAGTTGCCTCCTCTGTGTAAGATCTCCCAAACCAGAATACTGCTCCTAGCTGGCCCCATCCTGACTTGGACTGGGAAAGGTAGCTGTGAAATTGTGGAGACTTCTTAGGTGGGCAGGACACTCAACATTCTTTTCCAGCAACCCTGGGTGAAAACAGCAAAAGAGTTGGGGAGCTGGTGGTACACAGGCCCTGAGCAAGTGCCTCTGACACCCCAGGATTCCTCAGAATGGGGTGCCTAGAGACCCTGACACCCACTTTTCCACACCTGCCATTCTCCCAGGGTGAAGCCTGCTGGAAGTATGAATGATGTGGGCCTGGATGCCTTAGATTTGGACCGGATGAAACAGGTGAGAGGGCCAGAAGCCATCAGCAGGGTGGGGACCACCTCTTTTCAGTGGAGGCAGTGCCATAGAGGCGGGCTTAGAAGCCAGCCAGTAGAGGAAAGGGGAAAGCCTGCCACTGGGGCCCTTCCTGTAGGTAGCCCCTGTCTTACCAGTATGGACTTGAGAGGTGGTGGGAGCAGGGTTTACCTGGGGCCTGGCTGAGAGCAAGGCACCTTCAGCACATCCTACTGGAGCCAGGCACCTGTCCTTCATTCTGAGGTTCTGCCCAGCAGGAGATCTTGGAGGAAGTGGTTCGTGAGCTCCATAAGGTGAAGGAGGAGATCATCGATGGTAAGTGAGGGCCACACACTACAGGGATTTCACCCCGGGACATGCCGCATGGTAGAGGGTACCAAGGAAAGGGAGACTTGCCACTGTTGTGCCCGGGAGGCCTTGTCTTCCCAGGGCTATCTGTAGCTGTGGAAACTGAAACCTAGAAAAGTTGGAGTTGTTAAAAAAGTTCTTGAGAGTACACATCTCCCCAGGGTGTGGCTCCTGAGCCTGAGGTCTCCCTCACCCCGGATTCCTCCTGGAGGATCATCCTGTGTAGGAGAGGGTGGGCTTGGAACACACCCAAGTTCCTTTATCTACTCACTTCTGTTGCCTCTCTGACCCTCCACCTCCTGTCATTGCTGCCTCCTGAGAGTGCCTGAGCTCCTTCACGTCCTGCATGACGCTGTGCTCGGGGCAGACATGGTGCTCCTCCCAAAAGAGCCTCTGGCTCCAGAGAGCAGGACTGTGACCCACACATTACATCCGTCCCTACCAGGGCGTTTGAGAGAACAGGCTCAGATCTGCAGCCAGAGGAAAAGGGAAGGTTTGGGTAGGGCTGGTTCAGGACAGAGCAGCAAAGCACAGCTACACCCAAGCCCCACCTGCTGCCCCCACCAAGCTCTGGCCCACAGGGTAGATGTCTATGGGGGTCCTGCTGAGAGCTGGCAGCCGACAGCAGCCTCCTGACCTAGCCACGCAACAACCTTGACCACAGAGTACTCAGTTCCTGTTTGTCCAGTTCCACTAGAGTCCAGGTCTGGGAAACTATGCATGAATGAGAGGGAGACAGCACAGCCACAGAGCTGTTGACGCTGCTTCACTGCTGCCCCACCCGTCCAGCCTAGGGGCTCCCTTGATAGCACTCAGGGTTGGAAACCTTGAGCTGGTATGGGCCCCAAAGTAGCACTGCCCAGGGAGGAAGCAGGGAGCGTGGTAGGAGCCATAGGTCCCCTTCTTCAGTCACCCATGGGAACCCTCCTTACAAACAACTGAGTGTTCACAGGAAAGCATGCTAGGGGCCTGGCCCAGCACACATCCTGTTACTAGATGGTGGCCTCCCCTGCCTGTTAGTTCCAGCCAGGCCTGTCCAGGGAGAGGCTTGGCTGCTGTGAGCACCAGAGACCTGGGGAGGAGGGGGAGAGAATGCATGGGGCTGAGTGGAGGGGGCCCAGATCTTGTGCAGAAACAGGGATGAGGGGACCAGAAAAGAGAGGAACTTGGAGAGGCACGAAGGTACTATAGAAGACAGAACAGAGCCAGCCCTGGAGGAGCAGAGCCAGGAAAAGACATCAGCACAGTCCATAACTCTGCAGCCAGGGACTCCTGCTGCCCCCAGGCACTGGGCAGGCTGGGGCCAGCCTCCACCCTTTGTGGGGAGGGACTCACAGGGCTCCCAGCAGACACAGATGCCCACCTGCCAGGGCCTCAGCAGCATAAAGATCCCCATGGGGGTCCGGTGCCTGCCACCGAAGGCAGCTCTCGGGCTAGATGTAGTTCTTGGTTTTTCCAAACCCCCGTCAGCAGGGACAGAAACCTACAGGGGCTTTGCTGTCTCCACAAAGGTCTATCCCAAAGCTGCCATGCTGGTGGGCCTCCAGCCCATGTGCAGTCCTTTGGCAACCTGGGCAGGGTGCTTCCAGGAACCCAGCTGGGGCAGGCAGGCAGGGCAGGCCACAGCAGACACAGGCCTGCCTCGTCCTGCTACACTCAGCCTCCCTCTCCTGTCCTGCCCTCAGCCATCAGGCAGGAGCTGAGTGGGATCAGCACCACGTAAGACAGCGCCAGGCATGGAGGACTGCGAGGAGCACACAGCGAGCTGTAAAGCTGGGATATACTTCACTTAAGTCTCAACCTGTGATACAATATTAAAATGAGGAAACAGTTCAACTCCTGGATTTTTTTAGTCTGACACAGAACACCGGGTCTATTCTTTTTTTGTATTTTATATTTGCTTATTTAAGTGTACATTTCCTTGGTTTATAGAGAACACCCCCAAATCACCTGCTTCATTAGATGGCTTCCAAGTTTTCTCCTAGGTGATGCTGTTGGCGCCTCAGCTGGCAGTGAGCAGCTGGGTGCAGCATGAGCTGTCCAGACACAGCTCAGTCCTGGCAGCTGCGGTGTTACCAGTCTGTTCACGCAGTGCGTGTTATGTCCACACAGTAATAAACCGTTCACTATCCACACTCAGGCTCTGGCTCTCTCTCATGCGCCAGCTCTTGGCTATTGTCCCTTTTCAGGGAGTGCCCAGGCCAACAACAACAGGACTAGTGGGATCAAGGCAGGGATTTCGGTGAGCAGCTGGGTTCCATCAGAATATCCCCAGGACCCAACAGGGTGACCCAGCTGGTCACCTCCCATGCCTCGGGTCCTGCCTATGGAGAACCACATAACCCTAGGACCCTAAGTGCCGCCCCCTCCCTGGACTCACAGGGACTCTGTATGCATTCTGCTTGTCAAGTGGTAGAAAACAGACCTTGCTCAGGGCGGTGCCTAGGAAGCTCTGCCCACAGACTCCCTGCCTCCTCCTCAGTGGACCCCGGCCTATGATACCACCAGGAACAGTCCATGGCAGCCTAGTGAGGGTAGTGAGGGGTCCAGCACTTGTTCTTCATTGTGGCTACAGGAACCTCTGACCCTTGGTCTCAAGGACCACTGTCCATGTGGCCAGGAGCCCAGCTAGTGGTGGGCCTGGTTGCCCACTCCCCACATGACCCATGGCCACCACAACCATAGGGCAGAATGTCCACTGGCTGGCTCAGTGCTGAGGGCTACAGGGGACGGGATGAGGTGAGGGCCTTGACATGCTTCATCTCCTCAGGTTCCTATTGGCCTAAAAGCCAGGAATGTGAATGTTGGGCCTATAAGGAGACTAGAGGCCAGACAGCCTGGGGGCCTGGTCAGGGCAGCAGAGTCCATGTTCCCAAGAGCCACTCTGCTGCAGCCCTCCCTGCCCAGCCCAGGCCCTGCCCCTGCCATAGCCTCTCCAAAAGAATTCTTAGTGCAGCCCAGTCAAAGCACCTTGAGACACCCTCCAGCCCTGACGTGAGGGGAGACCTGGACATGGCCCTCAGCACTATCTGCTGGAAGCAGACTAGTATACATTGGTGGGGTGAGGCACAGCCATTGAGGGTAGGGCGGCAGCTGAATTCACTGGGGTTTCCCTCAGCCTGGATTGGCCTGTGTGCACAGGGAGGCCCGCTCGCCCTGGCTCAAAGTCCTTTCTCAGAACAAGTGCTTAGCCCAGGCCTTCTCTCACATCATCTCAGCTGTCACACCATTCAGGGACACCTGTGCCTGGCACCACAAAGGACCACTCCTAGGCAGGGACCAAGTCCAACACACACTCCTTCCTGGCCTCCCTCTCCTAGGTCAGCACACTGCCTTCACCAGTGGTATTGTCTTTGGCCAAGCCCAATGCCTCAGTCCCCAGGCTGTGGTGGGAGCTGCAAGGCTGGGCCCACTCCTGTCCCTTTCTACCAAGGGAGCTTCTCCCTGCCCCCCACTGCTACCTACCTGCTCTGGACACCAGGACCTGCCATAGTCCAGCCCCCCTAGGACCAGGTCACTAATCAGGGTCTCCTTCCAAAGTCTCAGCTGTGCTATTATCCCCCTGTAGAAAGGAGGAATGCATGTCCCTCATCCAAGAAGACAAGGATAGCCCAGCCTGCCCTTATGGACTGGAGTTCACCTGTCTGCCCAGCCAGCCATCTGACTTAGGGGCCTGTTACATGCAGGATGGGGGAGATGAACCTTATGCTATCAGCCTGACCCTGTCCTAGGAGATAGATCTCATGATGTCAGCCTGACCCTGGCATGGTTCTGTAGGACAGAGCACCTGAGGTAAAACAGCTCCATGGCTGGAGGGGCCTTCTGCCCATGCCTAGAAACTACTACACAGTGACTGAGGCATCAGGGACACTGAGGAGCAGCTGCCACCCTCCCAGAGAGCCTGAGGGAATGGCATGGGCATGGGGCTGGGCCAGGAGGGGCCACATAGAGGCCTTGGGCTTCACCTCCCTGGATTCAGGCCTCATTCTCAGTGGGCCCAAGCTCAGACCAAGACACCACCCCACCCCACCCAAAAGAAGAACACATGGACTAAAAAGACAGGTTGAGTTTAATCTAGGGTGCAGGAACAGAGAAGCCAGCCCCATGGGGACCATGGGCACAAAGTATCCTAGTCACAGTCAAACAGCTGAGACTTCTAAGCCCAGGTACCCCAGCTGCAACCAGTGTCTACTGTTGCTGGATAACTCCCAGGGCTCAGCAGGGCCAGAAACAGCACAGAATGGGAGAAACAGTTCTGGGGCCCTGGCCTGTGGGAGTGGAGGCAGCAGCCATCTATGTGGCGTGCACAGGAGGCACGGGGTTGCCCCTTAGGGCTGCTGGCCATCCAGGCTCACAGGTGGCCCTCTGCCACCTTACACTTGCGCTTGATCCTGGCGTAGGGGCCCAGAGAGTCCTCAAACACAAAGTCCCAGAGCACCTTCACCCAGGAGTAGTGCTGTGGTAGGTGGTCATAATACTCAGGTGCAATCTTCCTTACCTGTGGAGAGGGGTTGGGGTCAAAGCAGCGCCTGGGCTGGTGCTCTGCCAAACTTACTGAGTGCACATGCACCCACACAAACACTCCTTGAGCTCTTTGGAGCAGGCTCCAGCAGGGAGGGCACCACCGACCCCCAGGGCCCCACCCCAGAACCCACCAACATTCTGATCCAGGAGGTCTAGGTGGGCCTGCTCCGGTTTCTCTATGATACCCACAGTGTTCTGAGGCCTACACACTTTGCTGACTTTGGGTCATGCCTTAACTCCTCAGGCAAGCATCCTATGTCCTCTCCAGCTTGCCAGCCTCTTGGCCTTGGCTTACACTGACTGGTTCCTCACTCAGCACACTTCCTCTGCCCACATCCTTTGCCCTGGCCTGATGTACCACATCTACCTCCTCCCCCAGGGAATGCCCTAATATAGCAGTTAGAACTAAACCACCAGAGAGTTATCAGAAGTGCCCTCCACCTCCCCAGGGAAGACTGTTTCATGGCTGAGATGGGCCAACAGGCAGCCTTCCCTCCAGCCTACAGCGGGTCCTCCATGATGACTGCTCCCCTCAGGGTGGCCTGAGTTGGACTGGCCCTGCTTCTAAGGGCCACCCCCCTCTCAGCCTCTGCCTTCTTTTTCTCAAATGTACAGAATAGAGGACAGGGCACCTTCCCAGGCACCAGGGTAAGATCTGAATGCAGCAGAGCTGGGGTTGTGGGAAGGGGGGCATCCTCACAGCTGTATGTATGCTGAGCATGGGACACTCCATAAGCACTGGGCCCAGCAATGTAAGCACCCCAAACAAGCATGCACACACACACACACACACACACAAGCATGCACGCAGCCCTGCACACCCAAGGGCTTATAGAAAGGCACTCAGGCACATGAGGCACACACGCAGCCCTGCACACCCAAGGGCTTATAGAAAGGCACTCAGGCACATGAGTGCCCTCTGCCGCTGCCCCCTGCCATGCCCTTCCTGGGTCACCTCAGCTTTTTAACAACCATCGGTATCCAAGGCCTCACTGCCCTCTGTGTTAGCCTCCCCACTCCTGCATCTCAGCCTCCTCTCCCTATAGCTCAAGTCAGTCCCTTTAGGTTGCAAGAAGACCAACCCTGTCCTGAGTGGTCAGCTCTAGGCCAGGAGCAGGGTACCTACAGTATCACAGAGCTATGACAGGAAATGAGTAGGAATAGTCAGGAGATAGAAAGGAGGGCTCCTAGCATGCTGTATGACTGTTGCAGCCAATGCCTGTCAGCAGGGTTCCAGCAGCTCTTCATTAGCATCCTTCTAACCCAAGCCTGTCTGGGGAGACCCCACCCTCTCTGAATCTGCCTCCTCAGTCTCCAGCCAAGCACCAGCATGTGTGGTATGGCCATTCCTGCTGCCCTGGGGCCACAAATATGAATGACCATTGCCCGACCAGGACACAAAGGGAAAAGCAGCCTGGGCAGGGCCAGAGCTCTTCTGCTCTCTCCCTACCCCTCACATGCCGGCCTAGCCCAGGCCACATACATACCAGTGGTAAGTTGCAGCCAGGGATGCTGGGGAAGTCATGATGCTCCATGTGGTAGCCGACATTGAAGGTGATCCAGTTGAGGGGCCCATAGTAAGAGTAAGTCTCATGGCCCTTCAGGAACATATAGTGCTCAGCAACAAAGTGGCCAGAGATGGGGTGCAAGCCCAGGCCCAGGAGGGAGCTAGCCAGAAGGTAGACCAGAGGTTTGATCCCCCAAAGGGCAAAGATGACAACGTCAAAGGCCAGCTGCACCAGGGTGTTCAGCATCTCCATGCGGGTCACTGCCTTGGGGTGCACACAGAGCGGCCGCAGTGCATAGAAGAATGGCTGTAGCACCAGCCAGATTAGCTTGCGGGCAGGTGTGCAGAAGAGCCAACCCTCAAAGTTCGTGGGAATGTCCACATCCAGCCCATCGCCGCCCAGGTATCGGTGGTGGTCCACATGGTACTTTTTGAAGGATGCTGAATACGGCAGGCCAATGGGCAAGTTGGCGAAGATAGCAAACCAGCGGTTGCAGGCAGCATAGCCTGTGCCAAAGGCTGTATTGTGTGAGATGTCGTGGATAGCCAACGTCAGGGAGTGGTTGACACAGCCCCCGAAGGCATAGGCCCAGAACAGCAGCCAGCGCCAAGTGAGCCCACACACCAACCAGCAGGCCAGCAGCTGGACCAAGACCATTCCCAGCACAGTCCATTTGAGGTGAGGGTCAGGCCGCATCAGGGCCTTGATGGCCGGGTACTTGGCTACAGGGAAGACAAGGGTGACGAGTGACTAGGCATTCCTGGGACCCTTGTGGTCCCCTTCCCTCATTCTCCTGCCATCTCCCCTCCCTCCCATCTTCAGCCCCCAGCAGTGACCTGAAAGTACACCAGCCTCCTACCCAGCAGCCACCGCATACCCTCAAGGGTCTCAGAGTGGCTTGCTCCCTGAACTTCATGCTTGTGAATAGTTGCAGCCTGCCTGACCTGTGGGGTATAAAGGCTCCACCCCCAACCACCTGGGGATCAGGGTTTGGAGCCTTCCCAGAGTGGAGAAATTTGCCACCAGCCTAAATAAAGAGCAGGTGTCACCAGAAGTCACATTGGAAACCAGAGTAGCCTCAGAGCCACAAGTTGCCTGGCCCTGAGCATTCTGCTAAATAACATGCCCTTGCCATGTACAGCTAGGGGCTTGAACACAGCCAGAGAGGATTAATGTGGACTGGTCACTTCCAAACTCAACAGGCCTTGGGGTGGCCAGGGGTGGCTTGGGAGGGAAGCATGGAGGGCTCCAGCTTAATCACAAGTGTTCCTTCTGGTTCCTAAAGCAAATAAGCACTACAGGGAAGCTAATAAAATGTTGGCTGTTTCTTGAGGGTGATGGTTATCTGTGCAGGCATAGTTTGTACTTTTCTGTATTTTGTTTTCTAGAAAAGGAACAATGAGTGTGAGTTGGCCAAGCTGGGAAGGACCAGAAAAGGAAGGCAGGCAGCCCAGGGGGTGTTGGTACCTGAGGGCAGAGGGGTGGGACAGGACAGCTGTGCTACTAGAAACTTCTGTGGCTATTCTGCAGAAGGAAGTGGCAGAACCAGATCAGACAGCAGGTGCTGCATCCAGGAACAGGGTCATCACAAACTCAGGGTGACAGATACCCCCAGGTCTGTAAAAGCAGATGACTCAGGGATGGGAATGGAGTCAGCACTGTTCTGCAGAGAAACCCAGCCAGCTGGCCAGGAGCTTATCCCAGGGTATCGTAACTTAAACAGCACCTGGGCCCCTAAGTCAAACAGCACCGAACCTCAGGGTTCCAAGCACCCCCACCCCACCTATGAACAGACAATGGCCTCTGCTCACCTTCTGCAGGGGCCAGCCTGTGAAAGAGGGTCTCCTGGTGCAAGGCTAGCCTGGCCTACATGAGACTTATATGGATGGATGGATGCAATTGTATGTTATATATGTTTTACCACGAGAGAACAATGTTAAGCTAGGAGACACAGAGACACACTGATGGTCCCAGCTACTCAGGAGCTGAGACAGGAGGATGACTTGAGTCCAGGAGTTTCAAACCAACATGGTCAACATAAGGAAACCCTATTTCATTAAAGCAAAACAAAAAAAGCGCTGTTTAAGAACTCCAGTTCCAGCCGGGCGTGGTGGTGCACGCCTGTATTCCCAGCACTTGGGAGGCAGAGGCAGGTGGATCCTCTGTGAGTTTGAGGCCAGCCTGGTCTACAGAGTGAGTTCCAGGCAGCTGGAGCTACAGGGAGACCCTGTCTCAAAAAAGACCAAAAAAAAAAAAAAAGGAACTCCAGTTCCTGAAGTGTGACCTCAGCTCCCAGACTCCTTATCTGAGCAAATTGGGAGGGTTCCAAGATAAGGCCAGGGGCCTTACTAGCTGGCCAGGGGACTTTTGAGTGAGGCTAAGGCAGGCTGCCAGGGGCCGCTTACAGAAAATCCCCATGGCTTGATGGTGTGAGATGCTCATGGGGAAGGACTACCAAGCCATTAAAAGTTTCCCTTTCAGCCCTACCCATGTTATCTAATGACAACCAGACCTGGGGGAGCCTGAGCGCTAGGAAGCCAGACTATCTCCAAGGCAGACCAAGGATCTCAGTCAGAGAGGGCCATTTGTACCAGTGATGAGCGGACTGATGAAACCCCAAAGACGCCCACATTCTAGCACCACAGTCTGTGACCACCTTAAGTGACAGGGCAAAGGAGAACAGAGGTGCTCGTAGCATTTAGGGCATCATGAGGTATACAAGAGAGAGACTGACTGGCCACAGGGCTGCATGAGGTACAAAGAAAAGGCCTGGTCCTGCCACAACTGACTAGGAACACAGAGGAGGGGCTGTGAGGAATGTGGGTACTCTGGAAGCCAGGAGAGACTAGGAAAGCAGCCCTGCTGGCCCCACCTTCAGCTCCATGAGGCACAGCCAGGCCGCTCACCTCCAGACCTGCATGATGTTCTGAAGTTGTGCAGCACCTGAGTCTGGCCATACCAGCCTCCTCTCAGCTCTGGGGCAGAGGCCAGCCTGGTTCAGCCTGATTCAGCCTGGCTTCTGAGGGCTCCACTGCTTACCAGACCTGGCAGGGTGAACAAGCCAGCAGGGGAAATCCCCAGCATCATCCCACTAGGCTCAGCATGGGCATGACTCTGGGTAAGAGAGCCTAAAGGACACGAGGGACAGATGGACATGTGAGCTACACTCTAATCTACTCAGAAGGTACCTGCTACTCCCCGGGCAGTGGGGGTGGGGGTGGGGTGCAGGGCCAGGGTCAAGACGCCACAAGTGTCTGCTGTTATCAGGAAGATGGATGCTTTGTGTGGGGACCCCGGGATCGGGGGACAAGAGGAAGGCAATACCCCTTGGTGACAGGAGGGTAAGGATAGCAGTAGCCCCAGCTCTCAGGAAGGTTGTGGCCCCACCAGGGAAATCACATGCAAAGTCTCTGCACACCACCAGCTGCACCCCCTTCAGGAGGAGGTTCTCTATGCACCTGCCTTACCCCTCAGCCTCCCCAGAACAGCATCCAGTACCCCTCTCCTGGCCCAGCCAGGGACCCACCAGCTCCAGCCCCTGGCCCTCCTGAGGCCTTTGCTCCTGTTCCCCTTGGAAGAGAGCCAAACCTCAGCATAAAAGGCCAGATCTGGCCACACCCATGTCAGGTGAGCCTCAGCTAGGTGAACTCTGGTGCAGCTGGGCCCAAGCCCCAGCTTAGATGTAGGTCATCCCACACAGTATACCGCAGTGACAGAACCCAGTAATTCGACTTGGAGGTGGGCCTTGGACTCTTATCTGTGGGAGGCTAATGAGAACACATTTAGGGTCCCTCCCTTTCTCCTGCCCAGGCTACTGCAAGGAGCCCTGTGCCTTTCCTCCTGTCCCCAACAGTTTCCAAGGAATCAACTTCACCCCTGAGTCCCAGCTGCCCTCTTTTGCCTCAGGAGTCCCCCTCCAGGAATATTCTAGAGAGGAGAAACATGCCATATGGAAGGGCACCATGTCCCCTCCCCAGCCCCTCCTGGCTCCCAAGGCTGCCCTTTCCACAGACTCCATGCAGCCCATAGAGCCACTGGGATCCATGGTCAGCCACAGGGCCCCTCCACCCAGTGGGCATGCCCCCTAAGCCCTCTCTCAGTGGACACTGGGCAGCATCCAGCCTTGCTACACTCTGGCACATCAAGCCGGAGGTCCCACACAGGTGAGATCCCTTCAGAGCGTGCCATCCATGCCTCAGCCCTTGAACCAGGCTGACGCCAGGCTGGCTGCTTCTGACTCTTCAACTCTCCAGGGCCTCTCCAGCCCGACCCCTCTCCTGAAGATGGGATGACTGTATATGGGCCCTTGGGCCTACAAGGGGGGCATACAAGGGTCTGGGGCTTGGGAGCAAGCACTGAGTGAGCTGTCACTCTCACCTGTCAAGGTTCCTATCCGACAGTACAGAGACCCATTCTGGCTTGGTCTTGGAGCCATGTCCAATCTTGAAACCTGTTCTGACAACAGCAGACCCAACGCTTCCAGCCATTGGGAGTGGGGGGTGTTTATCACAGGACTCAACTGTCCTGTTGGGGGAAGGCTAGGCAGTTGGACATCAGCCACTGGCTGCTGGGTGTGGTACCTGCCCTTCAGTCGGCCTCTGGCCTTCCTGTGAGCATTTGCTGGACCTGGAGGACCTGCAGCCCTCAGGAGGGGATGGGCAGAAAAGGGCACTCAGGGAGGCTCGGGCACCTGCTGTCACTGCAGGGAGGAGCCCTGTCCACAACGCAGCCCCCAAGGCCTGCAGTTACCCCAGGGGACCTCCAGGAACAGCTTCCCAGAGCCTATCCACCAGGGGCACCTTGGTCTGGGAGTCCTAATTGAGGCCAGAGACTTTGCTGAGCACCCAGCCTCTAGGGATTCCCCAGGAAGGCCCTACCCGAGGAGTGATAGGGATCCACCCCAACCGCAGTGGGACCAGGAGCATGCTGAACTGCCTGTCAGAGGACTGCAGCCAGAAATTCAACCCTCACTTGCAGACATCTGAGATGCTCACCATTTCTAACTCCAGAATCACATGTCCCTGGGGGGAACAGGAGGCCAGGGAGTCCACACAAGGAGGCACACTGGGGACCACTGGCCATACACACCTTGAGTATGGGAAAGGTCTTGCTCTTGTTATGGGGTGGTCAGCAGTGGGCAGTACTGGAGCCATGTGGATGGCCAGTGGTCAGGGGGCAAGGAGGGGCAGGGGCAAGATCTGGACTGAGCGAGGTCATGGGGATCTCTGCCGGAGCCATTTGACCTGGCCAAAGGAAGATGGCAGGAAGGCTGGGGCAGTGAAGTGGGCATGGGGCAAAGAGGGCAGACCTTAAGATAGAAGAAAGGAAACTAACAGGACTTGCTAGGTTGGCACACGAAGAATGCAAGGGGATGCCGGCTCAATGGAGTGCAAGGAAAGGGGGACAGAGTGGGTGGACATGGGGAGATAGGGCTCTGTGGCCTCGCGGGGGCGCCATCTCCTGGGGAACTCAAAAGAGGTGAAAAGCCCCCAGGGGAGGGAGTAATGCTTGCTGCTCCTGTCCCCAATGGCAGCCCAGCATGGGCTGGGCCTGGCTCTAGATGGACACCTCAGCCTGCTAAGCCTGGCTGGATCTGCTCTGCTCTGCTGTGGGCCCTGCTGACTGGCTCACTCAACCTCTAGCTTGGATGTTCCATGGACACCTTGAGAATTCTCTGCTCTGCCACACAGCCTGGAACCCAGCCTGGAGAGCCATCTAGAAC